GCCCCGCCCCCGCCCCGCCCCCGCGCGGCCCGGCGCGCCCGGTGCTCACCTGCCTTCCCGCCCAGAGAAGCCCAGCATCACCATCAGGACCATCTTCAGCATCATCTCCAACACCGTCACCAGCTCGCAGTCCTCGGCCAAGGCAGCTACCGGCCGCGGCCCGCGGGGAGGGCGGGGCGGGCCGGAGCGGATGGGGGCGGGGCCTGCCGGGGCGGGGCCTGGGCCCGGGGTGGGAGGTGGCCGGGGCGGAGCCTGGGGCTTCGCAGCCAGACCAGCGAGCCTGTCCTCTGTCCGTCTGCAGGCTTGCTCATCCGATTCCAACGGGGCTGCCCTGAGGGCCTTGCTGGAGCCAACCACAGGCTGTGTCCAGCCCGACAGCCACAGTGCATCCCTGCTGGGCTCCTATGACCACCTGGACCAGCGACTGTGGCAGCAGCACATCCAAGACCTCATGGACCCCGAGTCCAGCACCCTGTCCTCTTCCTCTCTGGGCCCTGCTGCTCCAGCGCCAGCTCTGTACCTGGCCACACCTGGTCCCTTCCCCCGACACGAGAAGGGCAGGCCTTTGGAGTCCAGGCAGAGGGTAACGCGGCCGCCCTCGCAGAAGGGCCCCCAGCTCCCAGCCGCCTCACGGAAAGCACCCTTCCTCCTCGACCGGTCGCACAAGATCCCGGCTGTGCACGCACCATTCAAGAAGGGGTCCAGCGGAGCGCCCGGCAAGGCCCTGGGGCCACCAGCCGCCCCGCAGAAGGCCCTGGCCGCCCCACCCCGGAAGGGGCCCCCCGCCTTGGCCACTGCCCACGGGGCCCCCTGCACCCCTGCCCCAGCCCGGAAGGCCCGCCCTGCCTCCCCGAAGGGCCCGGGCAGGCGCGCCCGATCTCAGAAGGCCCCGCCTGTGCCAGCTGTTTCCCCGAAGGCCGTGTCCCCCCCAGTCCTCCACCGGAAACCGCCGTTCCGACCTGCCCCACCCCAGAGGGCTGCGGGTCCCGCCGCCACCTGCCCTGTGGCGTGGGACCCCGCAGGCCGGGGGCTGCTGCCCAGAGGCGCGGTGGGGGAGCCGCCAGAGCCCCACCCACCTGAAGCGAAGCCTGGGCCAGTGGCCCTCGTGGGCACCCGGGAGGAGGAGGTGGTGGAGGTGAGGGCAGAGCAAACCTCCCTGCAGCTGCCGGATGGCACGACCAAGGTGGACTCGGTGAAGGTGGTGGTCAGCAGAGCCCACGAGCTCTCCCTGGGCGGCTGGAAGAGCAAGGGGAAGCTGGAGGACGTGACCATCACCAAGAAGGAGGAGACAGTGCTGGACATGCCCGGCTTCAAGGCCAAGCGGCTGGGGCAGCAGCACAAGTGGGTCAAGACCCAGGAGCTGGCCCTGGACGGGGCCGCGCAGGAGCACAGCAGGCCCTTCTCGGTGGAGGGGCTCGCCCTGGCCAAGCTGATGATCATGGCCAACTGTACGGAGCCGCCCCTCAGGCCGCCGGTGGTGGGCCTGCCCTCCTGGCTGTCCATCCCCCAGGCGTCCTCCCTGGCAGTGAAGGACCCCCAGCCTTCAGTGGCGGCTGAGGGGCCCGCGCGCTCAGCCTCCAGGGTGAAGGAGAGCACACCTGTGCAGATGGAGGCCGAGGACCCGCCCCAGGG